ACACACACACACACACACACACACACACACACACACTCTCTCTCTCTCTCTCTCTCTTCACTGGTTTCCCTTCTCTGGAGAATCAGCCTAACAAGGGAAAACCTTGGCAAAACCCCTTTGGACACCTACTTCATTAAAAAAAAAATACACCAAAACTCAACTAAACTTACTGCCTTCGGGTCAATAAAGGTAGTTCTAAACCGACATTTAGGCCAAGCTGTCCCTGACTCCCATCATAGTAATGCTCACACAAAAATTGGATGGTGAAAGACCAAAATCAAACTCCCTGCTATGAAGTCAATGTGGACTCATAGTGACCCTACAGGACAGGGTGGAACTGTCCCCGGAGTTTCTGAGCCTGCAGCTCTCTATGGGAGTAGATAGCCCCATCTTCCTCCCTTGGGGTGGCTGCTGGTTTCAAACTGCGGACCTAGCAGATCACAGCCAACAAGTAACCAGTGTGGCACCATGACTGTGGCACCACGGCACAGTGGTCAACATACAGGGGCCAGAGTCACAGCTTTTGAGTTTGTACCCTGGTTCTGCCACCTAACAGGTGTGTGACTTTGAGTAAGCCCGGTGCCTCAGTTTCCCCAGGTGTCAAGGCCTGCCTGGGCTTCCGTGGGGATCCCACCAGCAAAGGCCTGCCGTGCGCAGCACGTGAGCTGGTGTGGGACTAGGCCTCGAGGGTCAGGAACAGGAAGCTCCCATGAGCACACCCCGCCTCAGGTACAGGACCCGCTTCCTGCTGGCACCCCACTAGCACTTGTGCCACGTCCCCACCGTCAGCACCACTGGGGACGGTGAGGGCAGTCCCAGTTTGAGCCTCAGAGAACCTGCTTCCTCAGCTATGAAATGAGGAGACACAATTGCTAAGGCTCGTTTTGGGCTCTACACACACACACACACACACACATACACACACACACACACACACCACAAAAAGAAAAAGGGGCTCCCGGATTGATTTCCACCATAGATCCCCCTTGAGTTCTAACTTCCCCTGCACCTTTCTCATGTCTGAATTTCTGCTTGAAATAGGAAGCTGCGTATTTGGCGGGTAATGCACCCGGTGCTCGTTCAAACCACTGCTGGCACAGTCCAGCGACTCCAAGCCCTTGGTCATCACCAGGGAGGGGCTGGTGGCACAGCGTCTCCGAGAACAGCCTTATCCAGGGGACGAGAGACCAAAGAGGCTGAGTTACCTGGGCGAGCAGACCTGGTTGGATCTGGAGGGGCTGAGCGCCGGGGGCTTGCGTGACAATGGGCACAGCGTTCTCCATCCGTACCGAGTAGCCAGCGTGCTTCGAGGGCGAGGCCTGCAACCCTGTGGCCATGGGCAGGGATGAGGGCACAGGTGAGTGACCAACAAAGCCTCCCTCCACCCTGTGCCAGCTCCTCTGCTCGATGGGTCCTTCCGGGGCCTTTGACAGCGGTCCCTTAGTTCCTAACTTAAATGCAAATCATAGAAATGAATTGGGATGAATGTCGTCCAAAGCTATATGGTCAAATTCAGGTATTGAGAGGGCGGCCACGGAGCAGCTATGTGGAGGCATTACCACCAGACACTGAGGGCTGGCCTTGTCAGTGTCAGGGGCCAGGGAGCAGAAAATGGGTCCATCTGTTGGGAACCCCCTGGACTTGGAAACTGAGCCACTTCTGGTAGGTGTGTTCCGTGGGGTCTGCAGGCACACACTTATGAGGACTGATTTTACGTGTCAAACGTGGTCCTGCCTGTTGTTTGGTCAGATGGCAGTCTGGGGGTGATGAAGCCAGGTGGCCTTGAGAGATATCACCTTCGGCAATGTGGGTGGGCCTCCTCCAGTCAATGGAAGCCTTCAGAGCTACCAAGGGGGGTGGGGGGTGGCGTTGCCTCCAGGGACAGATGCAGACAGTTTGGCTGAACTCTCACCTCACCTGCCTGCCACCTGCCACTTGAATTTGGACTTGCCAGGTCTCCACAACATTCTAGAGACTTCTGGGTGGATCGTACCAGAGAGCACGCCAACCTTGGCACTTGGCGTCGACAGGGGAAGAGGGCCGGAGGTGGGGCGCGGGGAGGTTGCCTAGACTCACTGGGGGCGTGGGTTCTGGGAGGTACTTGTGAGACACGTTTCTGGCTCATGCTCACGGGGTGGGGCTATGCTGACCCTTTTCCACAGATGACCACACAGTAGGCACCGTAGAGAGGACACTCAGGGGCCGACACCAGCATCACAGGACCCTGCTAGGGACTGAACCGTGCAGTGTGCTCGCAACTCTCCCCGCTCAGAATGTGTGCCGCCAGTTGGGACCGGACAGTTATGCTAATGAGCAGGATTAGCACAGGGTGCGATTAGCAGCGAGTCTATTTCTTCTGTGCTATAAAAGAGATTAAACTCAAGCTAGACCTGGGAGTGGGAGTAGAGAGAGGCCAGACCACCTGATAGTCCCCTGGTCGGGAGCAGCTGTTCAAAGAGATAAGGACCTTTTCCTAGAGCTGCACGCCCCCCCACCCCAAGTTCAGACTTCTGGCCCTGCCCACTGTGAGAATGAACCACTGTTTGTCCATGTCCTTCCTCCATGGTGCTTGTGTTACCGTGGCACCAGAGAACAGTGGCAGGGCCACTTACAGACAGTCCTTCAGGGATGAAGTCCCAGCCAGTGGACTGGACACCAGGAGCCTGCTGGGGGCTGAAGCACCAGTCTCAGCCCTCAGGTTCTGTCCCGCCCACATGCTCACCGAAGGAGACCCCGGGGCGTCAGTCAGCACAGGCCACTGCCCTGGTGGGGTGGGGTGGGGGGCCTGGAGGTGTCTGCTTATCCTTACCTTGGAAGCCGGGGGGACACACGATGAGAGCTTGCTGGAAGGGGTCGGGCCTGGCGCAAATCTGGGCTGTCCCCGTTTGCAAGGGCATGCTGCGTGGGGCCACGGCCGCCATGGATGCTGCGGAGGGCTGGCAGAGAGCGGACGGGTCGTTAGTACGGAGACTTTGGGGTGGCTAAGGAAACAGCAGCACTGGTGGAGGTGGGGGCCTGAAGGGACGACGGGAACCAAACAAAAATGAACATGGGTGAACAGGGAGGGAGGTGCTATGCTGGGAGATGCGTGTCCACATCCAACAGCGAGCTCCGGGAAGACACATGGACAGACCGATGAGTGGAGACCAAGAGCCAGGAAGCCGCACGGGGGGTGGGGATATGGCTGAAAGGGGCTCGAGCCCCGGTGCCTGGCCAGACCCTGCTCGACATGCTTTTGTGAAGGTCCTCTGCTCACGGTGACCTGCGATTCACAGGTCCAGCCAGATGGTCCTCCACACGTGGGTGGGCCTCGGCCAATCAGTAGAAGGCTCTGGCAGCGAACACTGGAGTTTCCGGGAGAAGACAGCCTCACGAGCCTCTCTAGCTTGCTGCCTGCCCTGAGGATTTTGGACTCGGCAGTCTCCATAATTCCACCAGCCAGTTACTTGAAAACAACGATCTTCTCCTAACTCTGTTACCCACCTATCTCTCCATCCATCCATCCATCCATCACCAGCTTGTCTTTCATCTAGCTAATCCATCAGACATCATTTATGAAACTGACCTTAATCCATTATCTATCTAAGAAGCCCTGGAGGTAGAGTGGGCTTTGCTGTGGCTGCTAACTGCAAGGGCAACAATTAGAACCCAGCACCCTCTCTGAGAGAGAAAGATGAGGCTGTCTGCTCCTGTCAAGATTTACTGCCTGGGAAACCCGAGAGAGAACTCTGCTCTGTCCCTAGCAGAGTCACTATGGACTTGATAGTCGTTGGTTGATTTGATCATATATTGATTTAATCTATTATCTGTCATCCATCCCTCAATCTATCCATCCATCCATCCATCCATCCATCCATCACCCAATCTATCTTTCATCTACCTAATCTATCATCCATCATCTATTTTATCTATATAACCATCCATTATTGATCTATGTAATCCATCTGTCTATAGCTCATCATCTATCATCCTCTATCTATCTATCTATCTATCTATCTATCTATCTATCTATTCATCCATTCACCCACCCACCTCCTAGCCAACATCTATCTGTCTTTCAATCCATCCATCCGTCTGTACCTCCATCTGACTCCTCAGGATCTGGGTCTCAGGAGAATGCAACAAACAGGTGGCATTTGTGCCAGGAAGGAAGGTTTGGGACACCCATTCTTGGGAATGTGCAGGATGGATGTCGCATCAAGGACAGTGTGGAGGGACCTCTCTGTGGTCAGGGACCCAGGATCCCAGCCCTCCAGGATCACAGAGAGGGGTCTGCAGCAAGGAGGGTAGGTGGGAAGGAAAGGGAAGTCTCACCTGGGCCCATGTTGGCCCTCTAAATGCTTTAAGTGTTGGCTGGGGCAGGCAGAGGGCAGCAAGTGGTGGCAGTTTAGGGCCATGGGAGTCTGGCTCAAGGGCCTCATGAGGCCCAAATGAGAAAGCCTCACTCTTTAAGGAGGTGCCAAGGGACAGAAGCCTGTTGACACATGTCAGGCTGAGGGTGGCTCAGGGCCAGGTTGGGGACTGGGTGGGAATGCCTGCTTTTTGGGACAATGTGCATCAGAGAGAGCCCTGGTGGTGTAGTGGCTATGCGCCAGCTTCTCCATGGGAGAAAGACGAGGCTTTCATTCCCATACCGAGTGACAGTCTCGGAGACCCACCGGGCCAGTTCTTGCTGGAGTCAGTGTCCACAAGTGGCTAAGGAGAGTGTAGGCGATGCAAACCGCCTCTAGGGGGCAGCAGACCCCAGAGAGACAGCCCGAGGGAACCCCAACCTGGGCCTGAGCACCCCACCTAGGGATGAAGGCCCAGAGCGTGGTGGTGGGCGTTGGGGGTGGGTGGGGGTGGGGAAAGCAGCTTGGAGGCAGGGTCCAGAGACTATATCTCTGTGCAAGTTGTGCTTTAGGATCACTGCACGTGAACCACTCTGTACTGGTGCATGTATGTGTAGGTGACATCTGTAGGCATGTCTGTGTGCATGAGTGTAGGTACTGTGTGTGTGTGTGTGTGTGTGTGTGTTTGAGGGAAAGAGAGAGAGAGCATATAAGTGGCATCGGTATGCGTGTGTATGAACAAGCGTGAATATGCGTGTGACATTTGCAGGTGTGTTTGTGCGCATGCGTGAGCGTGTTCTGTGTAAGCATGTACGGCATATACGTGCGTGTGTGCTTCACAGATACTGAGTCGTGTCCTGGGTGCTCACAAAGAGGGTGGCTGTCGTTCCCGACTGGTAGGAGGGGAGAAGGCGCTGGCACCCGGCTCGGGCCCACTAAGACAGGAAGATGTAGGTGAAGGCTCTTTCCAGTCCCCTGGTGTCCCTGTGCTCCCAGCAGGGCATGAGGGGCTGGGTCCTGCTCCTTTTCTGAAAAGGCTGGACTTCTTGAGGCAGAGAGGCCCGCCTTCCCTAGACCCTGGAGGTTCCCAGAATTCCACAGGTGGTCTGGTGAACTGACGGAGTCTCCCATAGACGGAGAAGAGACAGGCTTCTCCATCCAGATAGACCGCAAGGAGCCAGCAATGCGGAGACACGGTGAAGGGCCTCATAAGGACTCTGATCCTGAGCCCCTTCCACTTCTAGAACTTTCCCCCGGGCAGATGTCAGACACAGACAGCCCACAGTCTTTCCTTGACCTCAGGCCCACACTGGTCCAGATGGAGAACGGCAGTCAGGCATCACCAATTCAGTGACCGGTGCCTGAGGGGAATCCTTTCTGGACCGTTCGGTGGGGCCAGCAGTCAAGACGTTCACCTCTGTCACCAGGCGCAAATACTTCTAACTGGGTGGATGTGGCACCGGAGGGGTTCCCGCCCGAGGACAGGCTCTGCTGGGGGGCAGCCCCCTTCCACCGCCCGCTCACCTGGTTGTGGACAGTGTTCAGCTGGTTGTTAAAGGTCATGGTCAGGTTGGTGGAGGTGCTGGGGGCCACGTGCGTGATGAAGGGGGTCTTGCTCTGGTTCACGGTGTCGTACATGTTCACCCGGCGCTTGCAAATCTCCATGTTCTGGAAGCAGGATTTGACGCTGTGTGCGGGGAGGGCAGAGGGAAGAGGAGAGGCATGAGGGAGGAGTTGGGCACAGAGCAGAAAAGCCCGAGAAGGCAGCTGGGAGATGAACGTGGGCATCTTCACACCTTGGGTGTCTGGGCCATATTCGTGGTGGCCACCGGGTCTCCCTACCCGATGCCAATGGCCCCACATTGACACACTCCCTGTTCCTACTGCCCGTAGGCTCTCCCTGTGGCCGCTGCCCCCTAGACAGAAGCATAAGCTCTCTGGTCAGCCAGAAAGGAAAACTCACAGATAAAACACCGATTTGTGAGCTCCTACCCTTCCCAGCGCTGTCTCAGGGGCAGACTCAGGCCGGCAACCTGCCTAGTGCTGCTGCCCCCCACACCCGGTCGGCAAGTAAGATGACCACCGCAGTCCACTATGGCAGGGCTCCTGGCTGGGCACCAAACCCTGGGCAGTTCACAGCCACCCAGCGGCACTGACAAAGATACGGACCGGCCACCGGTTTCCCGAACCATGACAGCCAAGACAACCCCGTGGGAGTGCTCTGTTCTATTGACACAGGGGCGGAGTGTCTCCCCTGTCACAGGCCAAGGACGGAGATGAAGACTTCCAAGACACAGTTAACAATGGTGGGCGGCGTCGGCAAGCTCAGTTTTCCTGTCTCTCCCATGAAGGGGGCTGACGAGGCGGAAGCCTGCTGTGCTGTGGGAGCCCATTCTGACTGATGGCTCACTGCCACCCCCAGGGTCGGAGTTTGTAGGGCTACAATCTTGAAGGAAGCAGGTTGCCAGCACTTTCTTCTGAGGGCCTCTGGCTGGGTTCAAACCACCCGCCTCCAGCCAGGAGCTGAGTGCATAGCACTGCATGGCACCTCCGAGGAGCTTCTTACTGTGGTGGAGTTCACTCTGGGCTCAGAGGAGGCTGCTCTTGAGAGTTTCCGAGCTTGTCAAGCTTGACGGCAGGAGAAAGCCTCACTTTTCTCCCACCGAGCGGCCGGTGGGTTGGAACTGCTGACCTTGGGCGTAGCAGGCCCATGCATGACCCACTACACTGCCAGGGCTCCTAAAAGGAGGCTTAAACTCAAAACAACTCACAGCGACACATAGGCCCGAGTAGAATGGCCCCTGTGGTTTTCTGAGGAGGAAGCCTCGTCTTTCACCCTCAGAGCGGCTGGTGGGCTGGAACTCCTGACCATGTGGTTGAGCAGCCTGATGCGGAAACAGCTAGGGATAACTTACCCAGGCACAGAGCTCATAGATGGCAACTTCCCCCACACCCCGGACATCCTCTTTGACCTTGTTCTTTTTTCTTGTAAAACTCGTGCCCAAATTCACTGCCGCGGTGCCGATTCCGACTCAAACGGACCCTACAGGATGGGTCAGGACCACCCCTGGGGTTCCTGAGGCTGCAACCCTGGTGGTCTTGAACTGTTGAAACCTTGCCGCAGCCCCCTGCGCTGCCCTTGATGCCGCCAGGGTGCTTGCATTCTTTCCCAGTCGCCAGAAAGGAAGACGCTCTCTCTTTTCAGATTTAGTGCTCCTCCGTCACACTGGTGAGCCGAGGCAGCCCCTGTGTTGGGAAGGCCCAGGGAACGGTGGCCCTGGCTCTGAGGATCCGAGGGGCCTGGCCCAGATGGCTTCTCCCCACCTCGGGCTTGGAGGGAAAACCACCAGAACCAGCCCTTCGGGACTCCGCCATGGCTTCTCGGCCTGGTCTCTCCTACAGCTCCTGGGCTCCGTCTGCTGTGTCTTTTCCCAAAGCAAACACGGCCACGCGAAAGCCCTGTTTGATTTCCAATCTACTTCTGCTATTCAGTCAGAATTTTACATCAACAACACACTCTTCCCTTCCCAGGTATTTTCCTAAGGGCGCGATGCTAATTTTCAAAACCACGTCGATGCCAAAAAAAGAGAACAAAAATAGCACTGAGCTCTTCCCAAAATACCTGGGGGCAGGGGAAGGCGTGGTTGGCCAAACTATAAGGGGCATGCAACAGAATCCAGGTGCAATAATGGGTTCCTACTATTTTAAGATTACACACATATGCTTCTCTGCACTCTGCAGGTATGCCATATCGTGGGCCCCAAATCCACCCCCCCAAAAATCCACAACCCAAACCACACCAACGAGCAAAACCCCAGAGGCCTTCAATGCGCCTGTGCATTTCCTGGTCACGGCTGATGGCTTGGGGGTTAGCCGTCCTGGAGTGGGGCCTGAGGAAGGGGCCGCTGTGCCATTGGGGGAGACATGCTGCTTCATCTTGCTCCTGATCGTCTGTAGACAGGACCAGCAGGCACCACTGAGTCCCACCAGCCCGCCGGGCCTTTCTTCCAGGTCTACCTTAGATGCTCCGTGGAAACCGGCTCCACATCCCGGCAGCACATGAGCCTCCAAGACAGACAGGCGGTGGTTGCCCATAAGCGGTGCTGGCCGGGAATTGAGCCCTGGTCTTCCAAACGGAAGACCTCGCTCTCTTGGACTGGAATCTCCCACGGGCAGGGGAACCCCTGCAGCTCGCCTGTTCACCCCAAAGCCCAATCCGAGTCTGCCCCAGGACGCCTCGACCCAAGGCGAGGTTCTGCCCCGCTCACCCTTGTCTGGCCACTGCCCTTCCCGCACGGACACCCAGAATCCAGCCCAGCCAGCCTGCAAGCCGCTGCCTCCTTTTCTGGGTAAAGCAGGCCACTAGCTGGGCAGCCCTCCACTGGCGTTTACAAATAAAGTTTTATTGGAACGCAGCTTGGCCATGTGGTGTGCTTACGGTCTACTCGGGCAGAGCCGAGTGTTTGTGGCAGACTTGTTCCCAAGCACCACCACCCTGCACACCTATGATGGACGTGGACACCTACTGTGTGCTGTGGGGGAAATCGAGGAGGTGCGTCATGGTGACGAAGGGGTGGTTCAGGGTCTCGATGGGCGTGACCCGCTTGTCGGCATCGATGGTCAGCATCTTCTTCAGCAGGTCGATGAACTCCCGGCGGTCGGCCTTCTCCACCAACAGGTCGCTCCCTTCCAGGTCTGTGGTCATGTTCACCTGGGGGCAGGTGGGGACAGGTTACTGGGCTCTCAGCCACCCAACCCCCACTGCTCTTGGGAGGCTGTGTGGACTCCCGTCTCTGGCTGAGATGCTTCTCTGTGTGGGACGGAGGGGGGGCGGCAGCCTGGCGGTCAGGACCAAGGCCAGGCTGTTGGCTGGGGGGTCAGGCCTCCTGCCCGCCCCCAGGCCCCTCTGGCCGAGGGCAGTGGTTGCGGTTTCAGGGCTTACCTGGGCCATGTCATCCAGACAGTTGAAAATGTACTTCCGGGCCTCTTTGGACTTGATCCCTGTCTCTGCTTCATGGTCATCTGGGGTCTGGTGAAGACAAGCAAAGGCTGATGGGGAACGTGGA